GTTCTCATACCTTTTCTTAACATAGAAACATTACTGTTACAATAGAGACTGCGTTTTACACAAAGTGGAAAAAACTGGAATTCTTTTCTAGTAAACTTTTCTTAAGATTTAGCAGTTTAATGCTTAAAAAATGAAAACATAATTGTAAAAACTGTTTACGAAGACAAAAAACGTGTTTACTCTTGACTTCGTATTTGCTTTGGTGGCACGTATTGCTTGTTCCGTGCGTTACATCTGCCTTTTGTTCTGTAATCTGGGGCTTTTAAACTCAGATTGGATAGGCTTCTTCTGGGTGAGCTAGCTACACCGCTGCACCGTAGGTAGATTACAGCTCTGCTGTCGGGCTGGGTAGAGGATCAGCAAACCCATTAACAATAAAAAAAAGTAAAACCCGGATATATGTATTAGTTTCCCACATGAAAAGGATTTTTAAATGCTACTTTTTTTATGGAAAACAGTAATTTCTAAATTCTTCGTAGAATGTCATGCGAGAACTGTGGCGGTGTTGAGTTTCAATAACGCAAAAGATTTGAAAAATTTCATTCTGACTGAATTTACCTATATGAAACTATAAAGAACAAACCCGAGAAAATCTTATAATATATTTAACTTGTGAGATGTTATGGTACCCTAAGTGTCTGTGTCTGACATGCATTTGGCATCTTTTTAACCGACTTTAAAAAGGAGTAAGTTCTCAAGTCGTCAATATGTTTTTAGCATAACGTTATATATACATGAAATATTTATTATATATTCAGGATATGGACCTTGATCACCTTCTGAATATAGAACACTAAAATTTACGAAGATTTAAAAAAGATTAAGTTAACCACGATCGTTTCCTGAAAATCTGTCTCTGAGGTGCCATAACAATATATTAAGCTCTGGGACACAAGAAACCGAAATTTTGTTGGCATGTTAAAATAATTAGGTTTTTGTTATGTAAACCGCGCCCTGCATTCTTTAACGCTATAATTATTGTGTCGCGATTAATCGCTGAATTCGCGACCTTGTACCAATTAGTACGTTACGTATATTTGTCACAAAACACGCTTCTTGAAACATTGATGCGTAAGTAGTCGGAAAATTAAATAAAACTAGTTTTAACGGATTAATGCACGAAACTTTATTTATTTATTGACGTTTCGCAGCCTTTTCAGGTCTGCATCGTTTTCGTTCTGCATCATTTCTGACGATGCAGACCTGAAAAGGCTGCGAAACGTCAATAAATAAATAAAGTTTCGTGCATTAACCCGTTAAAACTAGTTTTATTTAATGAGTGATGGGCGTGAAAACCTAAGAAACAGTTCTTTACTTTTTCTAAGTCGTAAAATAGATCAAGAGTAACATATCAGTTATCAATGGTGATTCTTAAAATCAAAGTTAAAGACAAATTTTATTTATGCAAATTAGATAAATAGTATACCTACAACAGGAAAAAAATACCATCGTACTAATATAATAAATGGGAAAGTTTGTATGATTGTTACTCAATCACGAAAAAACGGCTGAATTGAACGTGATGGATGAATGGCACACATGTATAGTTTATTACCAGGAAAGAGGATATTTAATTCGAATTCGATATTGGTTCGTGCTAGGGTTACTGTATTCGCCGTATAAGCTTTTTCGATCTAATGCAAAGACAATCTCCAATGACAGTGTCCGTGTAGTTTAATTTAGATAATATTAGGGTCTCGCAGAAGTCAATTCGCAATTCCACACTCAAACACTTACTTATTTGATATAGCACCCTTAGCCTATAAAAACATTGTTTTACAGTGTCTATTACATGCTTCTCAAATCTTAAGTTAGAATCAAAGAAATTTAATTTATTAGATTTAATTGATCTTCTAAATACAAATCAAAAGCATTACCATCCAACCATCAGCGTGCTAATACATTTATTTGAACTAACAGAAAGCGTCAGTTGGTTAGTAAACCCAAATAGCCGACCCACATAGTCTGGCGGCCTCTGTACTGGAGATGGAGGTGCAATGTGCAGTTAATATTTAATATGTAACACATGAGTAAATAAGGCACAGAGGCTTCATGGAACTGCGAGTGCGTGTGAGCACTGGCGGCCGGTCGCCAATAGAAACGTTTCTCGGCGTAGAAGGCTTACAGTCCGACAAGGATCTTTATGAATAATAATAATAAAACTACTCTTTATTGTAATACACCATACAAGACACACAAGTAAATTAAAAACATGATAGACAGAACGTACACAATATAGGCGGCCATATTGCTAGGCAGCAATCTCTTCCAGGCAACCCATAATAGGAAGATAAATAAATATGAAGGAGAAAAAGAGGGGTGTTATAGAAAATAATAATAATATCAATGACAGGAAAACAGAAATATCTAAGGAAGGAAAGAGAGAAGATGAAGGAATATGAATGTGTGTGACAGTTCAGGGAGGGCGCCAGTGTCTACGTAAGTGGCCGAAAATGACACACAAAATATGACGTTTATAAAGAGGGTGAAATTAGTTCCAATTTTCGCCATATTCACAAAGATCCTTTTCACAATATACCTAGTCCAGCTATAATTTCTGTTAGAAATGAAAATGCATTTTTTTAAATAAAGTAATGTAATATTAATAAATTTTATACCTACATATTTATTAAAGTCTCAGCAAAAAAAAAAACTATTCCAAATTTTGCCTTTAATCTGTTTGGTCACTAATCTATGGATTTACGCACTGTCTCCAAGGGAATTCCAAATAATTAAAAAGTTGAAAAAGGAAAAGTTTTTATTAAGTATTTATAGCCAGACACTAGTTACGTATTAACTATAAAGTAATTTACTATAAAGTAATATAACTAGGCAACTGACCATCAGTGCTCATCCTCATCACACACATAGACGAACCCTTGACCTGATTTCGTTCAAAAAAGTTCTACAAACTGAAACTCTACGGAAAAACTATTTTTGATTTTTATCTTTAGATAGAGTTTTGTTTAGTTTTGTAGGCTACAACTTGTCATATAACATGTTTGGATTTTTTAATGACTCTTGAAAGTTCACTAGCACTTTTTAGTATTTACAGAGACTTAGAGAAGACCTGAAGTCGCGTTTTATAAAGAAATACTTGAGTTTGCTAGTTCAAAAAGGCAGGGAGTACTGTTTTAAGTTCGCGAAGGTGGGTGACGTTGTACTGGTAGAATCACCACAAAAGCGTGTTTATTGGCGGTTGGGGGTCGTTTTTGAGCTTTTTATTGGTATTGATGGTATTTGCCGAACTGCTACAGTTAAAACCGCTAAAGGAAATTACATCCGTTCTCTTAAATGTTTGTACCCCTTAGAATTAGATATAAGTTCTTGAATATGTAAAGATAGATACTATTTTTTTATTAAATTATAATTGCTTTATTTTTTGCGCCTCGGAGGATTTTGAGGTTATTAGGCAACGAATGAATAACAGACTTGTCAATTTATTAATTTTACTGTGTGAATAATTTGTAGTTACAGTGGTTACAAATACATTTTCTTTTTATGTAGCTAGGCTATTTAACGGGACCAATGCGGACCATAATAATTATGGAACCGGGTCCTCAACAACTTTTAAGCTGTATTTTTTTAAGTAATATAATTATGTATCAAAAATACATAGTTAAATAATGGATAAATATGTTATTTTTTATTTAATAGCTAAAAGAACCTACAGCAATTAATCACTGCAAAATCAAAGTATTATAATATTTCCACTTGTCGAATATTAAAAAAAAAATCAATAATAGTGTCATGTTCAATGTTGGCCTTAATAAGAAAACGGAAGTTGACTATGCAAAACTTGGTCTTCATTCGCGTTTTGTTATTTGTAGTCACTGTAGTAAACAAGTTTATTGTTAGTTAAAGGTTGACTTTTGAAAAATATAAAACTGCTCGAATGTTCTAAACTTTTCATACACTAAACTTTAACCTACTTTTGTGCTGATAACTCTTTTTAGAACCGACCGTCTGTCCGCAGACTGTATATCTGACTGTGTATCTCATGAGTTAGAATCATAAGAGCAAGTTGAATTTTGACGTGACAACGTCTTAAATTAGGTTGCGGCTGGGAGTCACTTATGAAAAAGTGTAACGCTCGGTAACGTTACGATGAGTCTCTCGTGTTAAGTTTAAGTTTACATGTACAATGTTTTAGTAAACAAAATATATTTCTATAGTTAAAATTTGTGCAATTCTTATTTTCATTCAATTCCTTGTTCCTATTGTGCAATTTAATTATATTCATATCAATAAATATTCTACCGAGAAAAAGACGTTGTCACGTAAAATCTTCGCCCGTAAAACCGACTTTACAGGCAACCATTTTTTTACAATTCTTTCCAAAAAAATGTTCATTTATTTTGTCTTTATCGACAAAAAATTATAGATATAATACTAAAATTATTCTTAATTGCGGAGATAACATGATTTTTGCGGACTTTTTGGCGGGATCGGAAAGCGTCACTTTAGCAGTTTTGTTTTTCTTGATAAAAATTGTGTTGTGGCGGATGTTAGTGTCTAATAATGGTGGATTATTAACCACTAAGTGTTCGGGAACATGCACAAGTGCTGGCAAGTGAAACAAAATAGCGGAAAGTGTCTTTCGACGTTCCCTCAAGAAGTCCACGGGGAGGTTCCAGTAAATCCCCACATATTTACTGAAACATAGGGAAAGGGAGATTGACTTGACTGCCACTTACTTACGAGTGCTGTAGAATTTGTAAACATTTTAACACTTGACAATGGCTAAATGCACAAGCTGTGCGAAGCCATTTAGAAAAAAAAACATGATTTTTGCTCGATCTTAGCAATCTCTATACCTATATGAAGTGTTTTTTTTTGTAAGATAGGAAGGTAGGCTTCGGTTTACAAAGAGAAAACCATACAAATGCTGTCCATATTATGTCGTAGGTTGATTTGAAGAATCGAATTTTCGCGAAAATCCTATATCCTATTTGTTATTTATTTTCCAATTTAGACTAATATGGAAATTGTTGTTGCAGATCTTCAGAGATGATACATGTGGATGAGACTGACCCTGTCGGAGGTGAGATTTTAAGATAGTCAATGTATTTTAATATAGAAATTATTTATACTAGCAAACCAGTGAACCAAATGTTCACCAAAACCTGATTTCTCGAAAACCGAAAGTGCTACGTTACTCAAATCCGGTTTGTAGTCTTATCAGACTATTCTTAACTTATAACTTAAATATTCTCTTTATCTATCTCTTACGGTTTGGCCGCTGAAACAGCACCACAGACAGACGGACGGACTTGTCTAATAGATAAGAGATTATAAGCATTTAACTGATATTCAAATCTAAACAAAATTTTACTAGAAATAAAAATCCACACAGTTCTCGTTTCAGAAAGGATTCGAACCAGCATCTTTTCTAAAAAAAAAACTAAAAAAAAATCTAGCAAAATTTTCTGGAAATCCTTTTTCTCAAATGTGTCACGTTGGAGAGAATGTTATAGGTTTTAACGGAAAAGGAAACTGTCGTTCTTTTGACTTTTTTATTAAAACATTACACTTACTCGCATTTTTTTTAATACATTCATTTGTTGCATTCCTGGTGAGTCAGAAGGAACGTGTTCTGTGGGGAGTGGTCATAACATTACATTCTTATCTGACTCATTCACTCATTCGAAGAATCCTGTTTTAAGCCCTTCGTTGAACCTGGATCGATCTCAGATAAATTAAACTAAACACATACGACAAAACCTTGAAAAACGTATATGTACCGTACTTGCTAAATAGTCTGCCCGGGAATATCCGACGAAAGCATGATAAAAATAAGTTTAATAAATTATTAAAGGAGGAGAGGAAGAGAGGAGCTCGATGGCGCCAGTGGTTAGCGCGTTCGGCTGCGATCGTTGAAGTTAAGGAACTTTCGCAATGGTCGGTCATTGGATGGTGACCAAAAATTTACTATCTCGAGCTCCTCCGTGCTTCAGAAGGCACGTTAAACCGTTGGTCCCGGCTGCATCAGCACCTCTCTTGAAAAGCTTAAGACGTTAACACCAGGAAACTGTAGTGGCAAGGTTCGCATACAACATGATACCAAGTCCCCGCCTGTAAATATATTTCCTCCGGCCTCTGTTCAGCATAGACAAGTGTATATATTCTGTGGCATAGAAGTGATATAACTAGGGATTCGATACGAAAACACACGTAAAAAATACACGTAAACTAACGTGTAACGAAACGTAACCGCGTGGGCACTTATGACGCGTCATCCAGGATCAGTCAGCGCCGACTGGAGACGAACGGACGGACGGATACGTTAAATAAAACCAACATGCAATAAAGTAAACAAAAACAGAGGATTTTTGGCAGCCAGCGAGCCGGTGGCGGCGACGATACGAGTAGGTATGTGCCGCTATTTCTGGTGTGGGATTATGCGCGACCAAATACATTAAACTATATACACTTAGGTGCGCGACATAGAAGTCGATTTGTGGCATTCTTAGCCACGTCTTTTTACAGATGAACGGATGCAATACACATAAGTAGTTAACAGCAGCGATTTAGGTGGCGAAATTTCTTAAAATGACGGGTCAAATTTAGAATTTTTTGGCCCAATTAATACCGAATGATCAAGAAAGCACGTTATTTCCGTTTTGTGTCTGTACATCTTATATATCTATTAAGCATTTTCCGTTTGCGAAAAATTGTGGCAGATCTTTTTCGGTGATATGGAATAAGTGATTAAAAATTACTTCTTTCGAGCTCCTTCGTAGTACCAAAAGAATATTGGCCGGCTATATCTGTAGTCGCTCGCAACACTCTACAATTAATTTTAGCTTTAATAGGTGTCTCGTACTAGTAAATGAGAAGCCACGAAACTATTTTCACAACAGCGATTTTATTATCATGTTTACAAAGATATTTTTTGGTTATCTATATTATTTTATTCATAATACCAACACTCAAACACTCATCGTCTTCGGACACATTTGTGTATGAACTAGAGATGAGTTTATTTGATAAAAAAATAATCAATATATTATCAAAGAAGTGCAAAGGTACGTTATATTAAATTCAAAGTTCTGTCAATTATAAAACCTTCGGAAAGCTTGACATTACTTATTATGGCTCGTCATTAATTCACAAATAAATTAACAACTCTCAATACAGTCGAATCGTTATTTCAATTTGAAACTCGTATTTTTACCAATTTTTGGAAACTACAAGGACTATTGTATACAGAAAAATAATGAACAGTGCATAACATTTTCACCTTACGACCTTGTTAATGTAGCGAAGTGACCAAATCACATATTTCGACTAAGACGTAGAGTGTGTCAGTGCGAGTCATATGGTCTCGTTTTGGAAACATTTTAAATGAAGATGTTTTTGTTGGGATATTATTACCAAAAGTAGCCGCAAAGAAGAGTAGGATATACGCATAATAAACCTTACGCTTGTTATTTAGATGAATTTTTGCTTTTAGAATTTGGGATTATGATTTATATGGAAAATATTTTTACTTTGACGAAGTAGCAGACAATAGGTAGTTTTGTACTTTTCCCATCTCTACATGGTCGGCTACCGTCCAAGAATCCGCACTAGGATGCTAACAGCACCAGCCGACAAGGTCGCACGTATTTGGCTGTCACGTCAATCCGTCTCTCCATTCATTCAGTTTTATTTATAAAATACTCCCCTAGCTCAGTGGGAATCCAACAACCGAGGAAGATAGACGTCTCTAAACTGAAGAATCGGTTTACAAAGTATTTATCTTGTCATATTATTTGGATGGCAAACAAGCAAATTATCCATCTGATGGACGCCTGCTGCCACACAAAAATATCAATCACACTCACGTTGCCAATATCAAATTCCTACACGCCTCTTTAGAAAAAACCCGTGTTGTATTATGTACTTTGTGAAAACCTCAGCCAAGCCAGGTTATTACCTGTGTTACGTTTACGTGACGTAAGTATTTGAGCCGTAAACAAACTCGGTTTAGAAATATGTGGATACATGCAAGTGGTACAAGTGCCAAATTTTTAATGAATGTACAAGGTATTCAATTTATAATATTATAATTCGTACAAATTTTTCATGAAAATGGCACCCCCTGTTATGTATTTAAGTTTTATGTAATTCACATCACATGACACTTTTGTTACCGATACTTAACTGGACAAAAAACAATGAGTGGAAATCTATTTACTTTTAAGAAGATTGTTTTTTTTTTGTTTTACCTTACGTCTGTACGTCGAGAGTCGGAGGACTGCATATTTACTAAACGCGAGTTTGTTTACGGCTCGAATACCTTCGTCAAGTAAACGTAATACCACAGTATATAAATCTTACAGTAAGGAAGTTACATACAAACGTTCGAAACGTTTAATTTAAATTGACTTACATCCTGGTTTCGGTAAAATGTTACATGCATTATGGTAAATCGAATGAGAAATTGATTTATTTAATGTTCAAATAAGGAAGGGAATTGTACCTATATTATGTTAGTACTTAATTTCTAAAAGTGAATTTGTCCTCTGGATAAATTTCCACACAAAAAGACTATCAAATTTGCCAGCAATGACGCTCAAAACAACACTGAAATATTTTAGTTAACAATACTTTATACTAGTTTATACATTATAAGTAGGTTAAGATTATTTGTATTTAAATTTTATACATTAGGTAGTTTTTAAGTTGCTGTTATTTTATTTCTATATATTCTAATTCCGTAAATAAAACATTCGTTTATTCACAAATTTGTCGATTGTATGATGATGACGTTTCGAGCACGTGGCTAACCGGCTATTAGTCTAATTAAAGATTTACCTTGTTCGCTGACTTCTCTGGCGACTTATTATAAATTCGATGAGTAATCGAGTGAGTCGCGTCGTGCGCTCGGCTGGCGCCCGCGGGGTGCAATCAACTCTAACATTTAATCGGTCGATTTAAACCGAACCGAGACAACTAACTGACTGTGGCGTTAATTTTACTGGGTAGGTAATTTTGATTGTACAGCAATGACTAGTCGTATAAAGATTTTATGACAATAAATATACGTTTCTGCTTTTTTTAAGAGAGGGGATATTTAAATAGTTTCCTTTGTACTATCTACTGTTACAATACATTTACGGTCGATTCTTCTATATTACTTAATTTTGGTTTTACCTCTGAATTAATTAAACCGTCTATCTCAAATTCATGTGAATGAAATCGTAATAAAACGTGAATTAAATTTTCTGCTCAACAAAAAATACGAAACAAATTAACTGTGATAAATGCAGATTAGCATATATTTAAGACTATACAAAACTTTTTGAAGTGAAACTTCTTTTCGGACGGGGTGTAAATGAAAAAATCCCTATGAAAAAGATGAAATGGAAATGCGTCGCGAGCGTCACACGACTATACAGGGCGTCCCACGGCTATCTCACATGGAGGGAAACTATATTAAATATTGAAGATAGGATATTTTACTGAAAGAAGACATCATTTTATTTTTAACAATAAGTAGAACTGTATTCACAGTTTTTTTTTAAATCGCTAAAAAATCGTACACCCAGTGGCATTTTCCTAACAATAAAAAAAAAGGTCATTTAAGAAAAGAATTCCGTGCACACAAATTTTTTAAATGTTTATTTTTAGCCCAAACTTTGTAGCCTGTACTTAAAGTTTTCCGCGCATAGTATGAACAAGGGTTTTAAGGTTTTTGTAAGCTTTTAACCTTCTTGTGTTTCTGTTACAGAAATAGAGCCGCCATTTCCTTGCCGAGATGTCACAATCAAAAGAAATACCGATGTCAACGACTACTATGAAATGCTCTCGGAAATCGGCAGGCAAGTATTAACAAACTACATAGATAATTACCCTTAGCATAGCACGAAACAATATCCAATTCGAACAGTAGAATTCGATCCAGGTACATGTCAAAACTCTAGAAGTTTTATATGGATTTTTTGAACAGCGTCACAACGGACGTAACGACAATGAAAAAAATTTCAATATAAAACTTTTTGACATTTTACGCATATCGAGATCGAATCCAACAATTGAATTCCATGATTCTCACAAAAATGTACCTCTGTTAAGCCCCAATAAAAAACTCCCAACCATACCATGAGCGAGGATGGAAAATTACCTCGTTGGACACGCGGAATACGGTTGCTCGCTTCTTCACTACTGTGTGCGTACATCTTATCATTTTGTTTGTTGTAGCTCTCTTATACGCTAAAATTTTTTTCATCCGAAAAAAGAATTTCGAGATAATTATTTCCCGCGTACCACTTCAACAAAGCGCGGCATCTCTTTAGTCTCAGGTCCATAAGACGAGCGTTCAAACGATGTCCTGTTTTTCTTCGATATGCCCGAAGCCCTAAGTCTTCATTTGACACCCTTTTCACCGTGGTGCTGATTAACCTCATCTGAAGGGCCAACAGTTTCGGCTTCACAGCTTTTATCACTGCTGGAGTTCTAACAGACCGAGGGCGACCACTTCTTGACCTGTCATCTACACTAGAGTCTTCATTGTATCGTTTGATGGTACGACATACGAATCTTTTGGTTATATTCAAATTTTTCAGTATGTCAAAAATTTGAATTGGCCCGTAACCGCAACGATGCAACGCAATAACTGCAACACGGTCTTCTTTAAGCGTCCACAATCCATATTTAAAAATGAGTAAAATTCGAAAAAGTATTGTATTTTCATGAACAATTCGAAATTCGAATTCAATAAACTTTTTTGTGGCCAGCATTCGAAAAGAAAATTTTTTTACTGTGTGCCAATACTTATGACCTGACTGTGTATCTATATATATAGTTTGTATATAGTATGGTATATTTTTATAATAGTAACTACTGACTTGTGTTGTTTAATATAAGCAACACATTGTAATTAATTTGTAATAAATCTTTATCCACGGAAACTCTGCCGACAAAGTATTGTAATAGTTTGGCAGATATTTTTATGTATAATCAATGTGTGACCTAGAAAACCAATAAAAAAGAACAAAGAAAAAAAAGGCCTTTATCATCTATTATGTGATATTATTGTCTTTTTATGTTTACCTCAATATTTTACGCATTCTCCGCTTATCAGGAGCGGAAAGCGGAGTTAATACAATACCCAAGCTTCTCTATGAAAATGTCAAAGCTCTAGAAAACTTACTCACAGCAGAAACAACACCACACAAATTTCAATGTTATGAAAGAGGAGAGGAGAGATTCCTTCTCTTAAAATGAAGCACATCCTTACATATTCACGTGTATTGTTCATCATTCTGTAATGATGAAAGAATTCCCCAGCACCACCAAACTTGACATGGCCACTGTGTGACTAATTAAACGTCAGACTCAACTGTTCCTGGGCGGGCGGAGTCGACCTTTCCGCGTCGCCAACACAAGCATGTCGGGAACACCGGATTAATTAGCTCTGACGACCTCTAAACTTCCATTAATGCGTTTAGTGTCATAACGGAACACGAAAATATGCTTCATTAGATCATAAATAGCTTATTTTTAACTCATAAGTAGGAGCTAGTGGAGTGTTCACGTAACATCCTTTCTTAATGTGACGCGCTCGAATATATGATTTCTATTTTCTACCCCTTCGTACTTACGACTCCCACGCCAACCATGCAAACCGGCCATATAACCGACCAATAAAATGATATTAATATTTCAATGGACAAAGGAAACATCCTATCCGTTGTCACCTTTTGGACAAATTCCCCAATCGATTTTCCATCAATGGTTGTTTTATTTATTTATCTCAGGACATATGGTTCTTCGAGCCGGATATTTATAGTTTATATTCTTCTGTGATACTAACCTTTACTAATATCCACCGGCTGAAACAATAAACATATTAAGATACAAAATTATCCCTGAAAACAAAAGACTTTGTAATAAAAGTTGTCGCTAACAAATCTATTGAGTCATATTAAGAATTAAAGAAAGAAAAAAAATTATTAATCCTATGAAGTCTTAATGTTAATGAGGCATATTATACTGTCAATAATATCACGATATCCCGATATTATGGACAGTGTAATATGCCGTATCGCAGTATCACTTGAACAATTTGTGATACTGCGATCCTAGTATCACGATAATATTGATCACAGTAAGATACCCCAATCAGAGAAGTCCTAACTTCAAATCTCTTTGTGCAGGGGCAAGTTTGGCACAGTGTACCTCTGCCGTGAGAAGAGCACGGGCCTGGAGCTGGCGGCCAAGCTGGTGTCCGTGAGCAGAAGGGATGAACGCAGGAATGTGGAGCGAGAGGTAGACGTGATGAGAAGACTGCGGCACCCGCGCCTCATACAGCTGTACGACGTGTACGACTGGGGCAAATATATGTGCGTCGTGCTAGAACTGTGAGTACTATGTTCTTACAAATCTTCTTCCTAATCGTGCGTTCTTGTGAGTGCGTAAGCGAGTGAGTAAACGGGACGAGCGCAGGGAGGCAGGTCGACCTGATGAGAAAACTGCGGCACAACCGAGCAAACCCTTGCCTTGTCAACAGATGACACTACTGGCCGAGTACCTACTCAATAATGGCCAGGCCATACTATACTTTCCATTGCACGTTGAATGATCTATTAACTAAGTCATTTTTTATTAATTCATGAAAAATTTAGGTACACATTCTTCGTATCGGTCGATCTGATTTCAAGCGATGATCCTTCTGTCTCTCCCTTCATATCTCTCCATAAGATATTTGGCTTTTAATTAAGTTTTATGGTAGAACAAATTATTACTTACGGCATATACCTCAGGGCGTTTGGGATTTATTTTGATTTATAAATCCGTGTTAGATTTTGAATCTATGAATACGAAAGACAACGTCGATGATTCAATATTACAAACGTATACGATATTTAAAGATGTAGATAGCGTATGTAGCAAATTAGTGAGTGAATCCGTATTATTTATTCTTTGGTGAATCACCTGTGCGGGCGCATCGCCACGTTTATAAAACGTCGGTGTTTCGATTCTAAATAGGTTTCATTCGAGGATTCCATTGCGGTATTTGGTTGTCATGACTCACACGCACAATACCTCGCCTCGAATTCTGGAAACTTTTGAAGGCATAATACGGGTCAAGGTTGGCGTTCGACCTAGTAGTCAGTAGTTCTCTGTTTACATTCAGACCTGTTTATTAACTGATATGTTTGTTTCGATCTGGAGATTAAAGCCCCAACGGTTTTTATGTTTTGCTCGCCAATTGAATGTGTGGTGCTTGAAATTCAGACTAATCGTTTGCCAAAAAGGTATATCTTGACGAGTTTGGAATGCATTTTGTGTGGCATCTTCTTTGTCCGCATTCATTTATTGCTTATAAAAGTCAATTGTTTTGTGATTTAACTGTACGGTTGTTTGTCTGAGAGTAACTCTTTTGCTTTTATTTTTATTTCTTTAGCTTTATTGAAACATAAAAGTACTAATAAAACTTCTCGAACTTATGTGGAAACGATAACGTTTATCCACCAAAACTGAAAGATGTCACACATTTGGGTATATTGTTACGCTAGCTACCAAGAAAAAATAGTGCATGGTTGCAGCTTATTGTATTTTAAATATTCATCTTTAAAGATGATGATTCATCTAAAACAAATTTATAAAATCTGTTTGGATTCTAATGTTGACTGGCATATTTACCCTCAGCTTTCTAGTCTGCAACAGTGTTCACTATCGAACACACACATTTGGTTATATTTTTATGCTAGCTACTAAGAAAAAATTGTGCATGGTTGCAGTTAATTGTAGTTTCCTAATTCATCTCTATAGATGACAGATTTTATAAATTTATTTTAGTAAAGTAGACAAATAGATTCAAAGCTATTGATCACAAAACCATGAACTGCAATCTCTATACATCCGATTCTTACTAATATTATAAATGTATAACTTTGTATGTTTGTGTATTTGTTACTCAATCTCGCAAAAACTACGGAACTGATTCAGATGAAATTTGGTAGACATACAGTTTATAATCAGCTTAAAGTTTGTCCCGGAAAAGTAGTAGGTTCTTGGGGGATTTTGCAAAAAGTTAACGCAGACGAAGTCGGTGGCGGCCGCTTGTACTAATTATTTTCAAATATAGGTCGATTATTATATCAAAGCCGAAATTACGTACATCCAAAAATCATTATAGGGTCGTGCAATCCCGGAGCTTATAAACAAACAATTTTATAAATAGCCAGTGAATAATCCAGGTGTGTGATATGAGTGACTAACGTGGTAAGCGAAGTTGTCGACAGGTGTACTCATTAGTGGATTTTCACTTTTAGACTGACGCGAGCGGTAGGCAGGCGGGCACCCATCATACGTCACTTTGTCCGTAATGGACAAATTAGAGCACGACCGTTTCGTACAGACATTTTTAGTTTCTGTTTGTACAGTCCACATAAGTAGTTGATGAATGCTTCTGATCTGATATACCGTGTTTTTCCCATGAGTGATTCCCTTGTCTTGCAACGCTCCTGCTGTCACTCGTCTCCTTTTCTCTAGACAAATACCATAGTAATGTATATTTTTTTATACATATCTCAGAAAGTAGAGATTTCAACAAACAAAAAACACCCCAACTTTTTTAAAAAAGCAGATATTTTGACGTGAGAATTTTCGATTGAAAATAAGGGTGCTTTTTCGATATTAAGTCAAAATAAGGTGAAAAAATGAATATTTTAAATCAAAAAAAATACTGTATGTTTGAGACATACAAAGGTAAGTTTTCACCAAATTTCGTGAAAATATATTTTTTTTTGCAAAAAATAAAAATCAAAAACCAAAAACTCGGTTATTCGCAATTTTCACATAAATTTTGAGGTTATGTGAAAAAAGTGTCGATACAAAAGTTGTACATCTTTTTATTACCTACAACTTTGCCATTTAACTTTTTTTCATAGGACTTGCAGTTTTACCGGAAATCGAGATTAACCATTTTTTACCCTTAAAAACTCACCCCCTCCCCCTTCCCGACCTCAGATCGCCCGTAATTTATTTTTCCTTTCATTTTTGTTATATTCTCTACCTTTTCTAATCTTCTTTTTGGGTTTCATCCTACTATATTTTTTTTTCACTTTTCACCATTTTTAAAATTATCGACCCTGGTCTACAGGCCACTCAGAAAGTTTTGAAAAAAAAATTATGTATAAGACACTGGCCCCTTGTATTTTTTTTTTGAAAACTTCGATTATTTAGTAGTCAAAATAACACTGTGCGATTTTCAAATTTCCCTCCGCATTTTTTCGAGAGCCAATTAAATTTTTCTTGTCTAATTGAAAAATGGATCTACATCGAGAACATTTTCGTGCTATGATTGTTTACGATTTTAACTGTGGCTTTAAACCTGATGATTCGTTTTATCGATTTCGAACTGCTTTTATGGATGAAGAACCTCCAAAAGCAACCATTTACCGCTGGTGTAGCGAGATCAAACGCGGTGGTCTTACTTTGGGGGATGAACAAAGGAGTGGTCGTCCTACGACGCGACGGCCGTCACCGAAGAAAGTGTGCTGGCAGTAAAAAAAATAATTCAAGAAAACAGATGAATTACGTACGAAGAGATTCAGCATACTCTGCAGATTGATTCAGGAAGTGTTCACAAGATTTTGCACGAACACCTTTGCGTAGGTAACCTCACCGAAGCTCAGAAGCAGGCCCGTGTGGATTGGTGTAGTGATATGATACAAAAATTTGATGCAGGCCCGTCACGGCGCGTTTACGATATTGTGACAGGTGGCGAATCCTGACATTTATCCATACGATCCTACGAAAGTGAAGCGATCGAGAAGCGCAGGAAAAATTTTGATCGATAGTTTCTTCACTTTGACGGGGGTAACTAATTTCAATTCCACTTCGAGACGAAAGCAGCATCAACGCCGAATGGTTTAGCACAAAATGCCTGCGAGAAGTTTTTTCTGCAATGAGCAACAAGCGACCAAACACCGGGCTCCACGGGGTCCTTCTACATCACGACAACGCGCCCGCGCACTCTGCGATCAAAACGAAGGACTTCCTGGACTCCACACCAGTCAGTCTTGGGACACCCTCCTTACAGTCCTGATTTGGCTGCGCGTGACTTCGTTTTATTCCCTAAAATAAAAAATCGGCTCAAATGATATTGAAAACTGTATCCCAGTTTTTATCGCCGGAAGAAGCGCTAGCAGCGTTTGAGAAGACCGTGGAAGAGGTGTCTACGGAGGACTGGAAAAAATGTTTTGTAAATCGGTACAGACGCATGAAACTTTGTATAATATATAACTTTGTGTAAGAACTCTCCACCAGCCTCTGGTGGAGAGTTCTTTGAAAAGATTTAATAAAAATATTTTTTTCATAGAAGTCAGTTTTTTAGTTTCTTATAACTTTCTGAACGTCCCACGTACCTATGAAAAAAAGTGTTTAATGGAGTAGCTGAAAGCATATCGACCACAGAACACAGACCTTGTGCCTGTGCGTGTAGTTAGTTCGGTATGATATACGGAAGTCAAGCAACTTTGGCATTAATAGGTCCAATAGCCGCCAATATATGTTGGCCAGCTTAACCCAACGCCAGTGTAGGCAAACTGATACAAGACAAGTGCTACCATCTAGACGTTAGACAAGTATGACGAAAACCAATGCAAGTGGCCAATATAGACGAGCTTTGTGAAGCTGCCCATTGGACGACGTGAGACAAATGTTGGTGAGCGACAGTGAGTGACACCAAATGTGGTCTATACACGTTGACGCTTCCCTTTACTCGGCAAATTAGGCAAACTACAACGGGCGATGACAAAACCAGACAAACATGATGTCTATACGTTGGTATTGATTTTCGCTTGGCCAACGTGTAGGTATTGGCAGCTTTATAGAATGACGATTATTATTTGAAAGGAAAAAACAATATTTTAATGCGAGTTCAATAAATATTGAAGCAAGTGTTGTAGCTTGATAAACAGGTGAAATGAAAAACGATAAGCGAACCAGCGATATTAAATGCATTTCGACATGCTCGTGTGAGCTAAGTCCACGATGACGCGATGATTGCTTAACTGTAGGTAGAGATAGCATTTTACAGGTATTTCTTGCGGATACATTTCAAACGGCATTCCTAAACTTTCTTTAAATCTGTTTTTTATATTTTTTTATTTTATAGTCATAATTGTTATATTATTTACATTTGTAATGGAAAGTGACTTCATGAGTTATCATATATTGAAGTCATCTTTCAATTTGACGACTCTGTATATAATACAAGGAGAAAAAAATAGCCCTTGCTGAGTTTCTTGCCGGCTCTTCTCAGTACAAGGTCTCCCGCGCCGTAGATTTGCGAACTGATGGCGTAGCTTTTCGACATGCTTGTAGACTGAATAAACAATATTGAATTTTG